TGCACATTTGTAAAATATTTTACAGTGAGTTCTTACAGCCAGCGATATCTGAAGCACAAGGACTTTATTTACAGTTTTCGCATAATAATCAGGTCCAACGGACCTAACATAAAAGGATTTTATGTTCATTTTATTTATTTTACCAACCAGAAACCTTATCGATCACTTCTAAGATATATCTATATCTATATATATATATATATATTTATATTTTGGGGAAAATGTAAACATTATTGCCAAAATTGTTACCACTCCATCCAATAAGGGCAAATAGTACCAAATGATTTAGAGAATCGAACATGGTAAAAGCTGGTAAAAGAGTGCTGTATTTTGGTCTATCTATTAAACATTAAATTATATATTAATAAAAATTTAAATATAAACTCAGTGGACAAGAGCTGGTATATTTTTCCTTTCTTTTATACATAAGTAGTCCTGCTAGTTACTTTTTGAAAATAAAACAAAAATTAAAATAAGGAAAAAAATAAGTCCTCTTTTTTTTCTTTCTTTTCTTTCTTTTTTTTTTTTTGCAGATTGGGTTATTAGCTTAAAGTCCTCTACATACCTTAGGAACAATTCCTATCGAGATAAACTACCCTCCTCTCCTTGCCCCAATGTTGGGGTTTTCCTCGCTCTTGTCCTACCTCTTTTCTTTTACTAAAAACATTTTTTAAAAAAATCAACAATTTATGTTCACTAAATGAAACAGTACAGACTTCAAAATCATTTCCTGAATGTCCATTTTCCCAGTGAGTAGGGTGAGGTGGGGAAAAAACAAACAACAGTTCCAGTGTCTTAAAAACAGAAGAATTTCAGGACACTTACTTGTGATATAGATAAATTAGCGAGAAAGAATAGGCTGTGTGTCTGTGCTCACACTGTATACCCAGGGCCTAAATAAGCAATAGCTAGTTATTTGAGGGCTTCAACTCTTCAGAAAAATCTCATTATGTGAAGAGTGAAGTGGCTCTGTAGGGAGCATTATGGAAATATCCGAGTTTGATTTAATGAGGCTCTTCACATTGGTGGAATATCAACGGAACAGAGAACAATCTACCCGGGATGTCCAAGTTACCAAAATGAAAATTGGCAATTGAGATGATAAGAACCCTGGCTTTCTTGTGCAAAAAAGAGAAAAGGAGAAAGAGAAATCACTCCAAGGTAACAGATATAACATTAAATAACATACATTCTTTGCACCAAGAACAAATGTTTTATGTACCAAGTCTCTTATCTGTCTCTTCTAATGACTTCCCTTAGCGGGTTGTTAGTACTTGACAGCAGGTCTCCGTGCGGGGAACTTTTTTTCCCCCCATTCCACATTCAAAGGAGGTCCATCAGAGAACATGATTGGCAATTTTCGTCATAATCTGCACATTATTAGCATCAAAATTGACACCGCAGTAACACCGGTGGTTTTTGGTGTGCCTTTCTTCAAGTTCACAGAAGTCCCTCCAGTGGGCGGGGGGGGGAGGAAGGGGGCTGTTACTCGGTGGTGTCTCGCCAGAGCCAAAAGGCACGTGAGAAAGAACACCAAGAGCCAAAGCCCCCCACCCTTACACACACACACACACATTTTGCGGGGGGGGGGAATTAATAAGACAAAATTAAACAAACAAACAAAAAGCGTATCCGGAAGGTCAGTGATTCAGAACATGGTGTCACATACCAAGAAAGTTTCAAGTATTTTCCAGATAATGTGGACTATGGTATTCAGAGCATGAGGTTTAAAATCCCTCTCCCAATTTCTAGACGAGTGTGCTGTCAGTCTCACTGTCCCCTTCCT